CGATCACGGGCGATGACGACCGACAACGACGACGAAGATTACGACGACGGCGACGACAACGACGACGACGACGACCGACAACGAAGAGCGATGACGACAACGACGCCGACGACGAGCGACGACGACGACGACGACGACGACGACGACCGACAACGAGGAGCGACGAGGAGTTGTGGCGAGCACATGCCTGCGAAGGCGTCGTTGCCTCCACGTGGCGTATAAGAGGTATGCTCCTTACCTCCCTCCTCCATCCTCCTCGTCGTCGTCCTTCTCCTCCGGTTGCTCGCTCTCTCTCTCTCTCATATCCTCTCTCTCTCTCTTTCCTTCTCTCTCTCTCTCTCTCCTACGAACACCGCAAATGCCTGAGAGCACCGCAACTTGCCCGCGACCACCGCCCCTATGCGGATCTCTATGCGGATCCCTATGAGGACCCCTCTGGGGATCCCTATGCGCATTTCTATTCGGATCCCTATGCGGATGCCTTTGCGGATCCCTATCCAGATCCCTATGTGGATGCCTAGGCGAATGGCCATGCTGATTCATATCCGGATCCCTATACGGATGCCTCTGAGGATCACTATGCGGATCCCCGCGCGGATCCTTATCTGGATCCCTATGCAGATCCCTATGCGGATCCCAATGCGAATCCCAATGCGAATCCCAATGCGAACCCCAATGCGAATCCCTGTGTGGATCCCAGGGGATCCCAATGCGAATCCCAATGCGGACCCCGCTGGATGTCTTAATGCGATCCGCATGCGGATCCCTATGCGGAGTTCTGTGCGGATTCCTATGCGGATCCATCTTTGGGCTGGGGGCTGGAGCGTTACGTTATTGGGGGGGCGGGGGGGCCATGACGCGCGTTATGGCCCAAGCAATAAAGAAACATGCTCCTCCCTTTCTGCTGCCCTCCTCCCTCCCTGAGGGTTTTCGGGGTCCCCGCGAAAATCGAGGATCCGAGGCTCGAGGACTTCACCCTGGAACGCAGACCAATACTGAAAATATAGCAACCGGCAGTATAGAAGAGGAACGCTACGACAGAACATCATATAGCATAATATCGTTTTTTTCCGTCGCAGCGCGACACAGGCGATCCGCACGCGCGCTTCAGCGGGCCAGGCTTATGCACGCACTCATTGCCCAGCTGCAGGAGAGGGGGCGGGGCTGGAGAGCGGCCGCGGAGGACAGGAGAAAGAGGGAGGGCACTCACAGCACGAAGACCTTCGACTGGAGTTGCCGGAGCGGCCAGTCTGAGCTGAGACAGCCTAGCAGTGGACGCGGGGCGGCACCACGGCCACACCCAGGGGCTGAGGCAGAGGCTGAGGGCGCAGAAAGCGTAGACCAAGTCGTACCAGTACGGGAGGAGGAACGGCAGGCGGGCCCACGAAGGTGCGCGGCATCCAGGTGTTCGCCAGAAGGCCGTGGGTGACAGGCTCTGCTGCGGCCCGGTGGATACGGGAAGGGCCAAGCGCCCACAGGGGCTGGGCTGGCGACCCGCACGCGGCAGCACGCTGCTGCAATGATGCCATGCTCAGCTGCAGAGATCCGGGCTGCGGGCCTGAGGCTGCGCGGCCGAGGGCTGCAAAGCGCCGCCAGCCAGGGTCTGCTGAGCTGCAAAGTGCCAACTGACTGAGCGACTCAGCACGACGAGGTGCTGGCGGGGGCCAATGCGACGCGCAGCAAGTGTTGCCAGGGGCCAGGGCAGCTGGGCATGTGACAGGCTGCGGCTGGGGCAGCGCGGCAGGGCTGCCGGCAACGGCGCCCACGAGGCGACCAGCAGGGCTGCCAGGAGCCAGGGCGGCTGCGCTGGACACCGCCGGCGGGCAGCGAGAGGCGCAGCAGGCCGCCGCGGGCGCGCCCTGGTGGCGGCAGGCGCGGGGAGGCGGGGAGGAGAACCAAACGACCACCGCTGCGGACATCGTCCGGACCTAGCTCAGACCAGGTGGGCAAGGCCCTGGCCTCAGAACCCTGGCGTGTCTGGACAGCAGGCAGTGCGAGGCCGAACCTGGCCAGGGCACGCAGCACAGGCGGGTGCGGCAGGGACGCCTCGCCGCAGGGCCGGCGAGGCGGGGGCGCCGCGCAGCAGGCTCGGCGGGGCGGGACGGGCTTCGACACAACATAACAGAGCATGTCGTCAGATAGTATGCGGCGCTGAGCATAACGTCGAGAGCATCACTGAACGGAGCATAGCAGAACATAGCCTGACAGAACAAATCATGCCATAACATGGTGCCACCGAGCAGAGCAAAACATAACATATCGTAACATGTTGAGACAAATGTGAACATCACAGAACACACTTTAAACGAACAAAGAAACATCCGTGAAGATGAGCATCACACGATAATATTCCGTGCTATCATATCATCAAACACGCAGTGCGAGCCGAGGTCAAGCTGGCCACAGAAAACCAACAGGGTCAACAACGACCGATTGGACGACGCTTTTAACGTGACAGGCGTCACGGTTTCACGCCGGCATGGCGGGAACAGAACAGGACATGACAGAGCAGAATGCAATCTAACAGTACTACATGGAGCATAGATGACATCCGTGCATATAACAACGAAAATTGGCAGGAGGCACATCACGACAGCACATAAGATATCATTCCATAGCATATCATGACATAACAGAGCATACTTGAGCATAAGAGAAAACAACTGTGAAGAAGAACGCATGCTCCTCTTCCTGCTGCTGCTGCTGCTGCTGCTCCTCCTCCTCTTGAAACAGGCTGCATATTCTCTCCGAACAAGTTTTGGGGTCTCGCACCAAGCGTTTGGGGGCCTGCTTCTTCGCCCCAAGGCGTGTTTCGGTGTCTTTCGTCCGGGGCTCGGGTGTCGTGAGAATTCCACCAGGCCCCGCGCGCATGGTTCCAGTAGGCGCGCGCACCGTCGGGGACAAACGCCGATAATTCCTGTGGAGATCGCCCGAAACAAAATAGTTGTGTTATGTTATCTTGTGCTCCGCTCTGTCATGTTACAAGATGAGCCGCGCACGATCATGAGATGTTTTATTACGATATGAAGTGGCATGCTATGTAATGCTGTGTTCTGGTACGCGCTGCTCTGTTTTCGCGTGAAGTACTATGATCCGTCATGTCGTGCGATGGTAAGCTATGCTGCGCTATGCTATGTTGTGCTGTGCGGTGTTATGGTGAGTTCTGCCAGGTTCTGCCCTGGTCGTCGAAAGGACGAGGCGGGGGTCTCGGGTCCGGGGATTCTCGATGGACCTGGGGATCGGGGCGGCCGCGGTGTGGAGAGTGGGCGGGTCGGCGCTAGGGTGGAGGTCTCGGGGGACCGTCGGTGGACCCGGGGATCTGGTGGCCGCGGCATGCAGGGTGGGCGGGCCTGGAGGTCCGTTCTGAAAATCTGGCGGCCCCAACTGGTCAGGTGGGGAACAACGCATGCAATGACAGAGCGGAGCATGCAGATCATAGCATATCACCACACATCACAACAGCATAACATACTCCAGATTTCGTAATAAAAGGGAGGGGGCCTGGACCCTCCAAGACAAGTCATTTCAGACCTCCCCCGTGGGAGAACCCTCCAAAACATCGTCCCCAGACCCCCCAGGCCCTCCAAGATAGCCTGGAAGAGACCCCCCCCGAAATGAGACCCCCCTCCCTGTATTACGAAATCTGGAGTAAAATGAGGCATCTCGACATGCCATGACATAACAAAGCATAACACAGGCTGGCCCGGAGGTCTGCTCTGAAAACCAGGCGTCCCCAACCTGTCAGGTGGGGACACAACTCGGAGATCATTTTTCGGTCGCGGCCGCGAGACGAGGGTCAGGCGGCGAAAGCAAAGTCCGGGACGCGAACTAGGAGAATTAGCTAGGACAGGCGCAGGCCGGCCGGCCCACTCACCCGGAGATCCGCGCAGGTTCCTCAGATCGGCGCTGGAGCCCCCTGGCGGAGCCTCTGGCGCCGCCCCCTGGAGCGCTCCACGCGCCAGGCAAGGGGGTCCAACGCCGAGCCGAGAGATCCGCGCGGGCCTCCGAGGTCTCCCTCCTCCTCCTCCTCCTCCTCCTCCTCCTCCTCCTCCTCCTCCTCTATGTCATGGCTGTTCCACTGCCGTCTCTCTCACGCTTCCTCCCCCGACACGGCGGAGCCAGCTCTGGAGCGAGCTCCCGAGAGAAGCCAAGAGCGGACGGGCTGGAGCCTGCTCTTCTGGAATTCGTTCGTGTCGGGCACGCGCGGGCGACGAGGCATGCACAGGCCGATGCTTCGGCCAAACTTCGGCAAAGCTTGCGGAAGGTGCCCTGGCCCGTGCTGAGCAGCGTGACCGCAAACGGATAACAGGAGGCCACATGCGAACCCTACCCCACCACCCCACGAGTCCTAGAGTTGGAGGTGGGGTTCACTTCGCTCGGGAGGTCTCGAATGAGGTCACCCCCCTTAGAAATCGTGGGGTTGTAGGGTAGGGATCGCGTGTGGCCTCCTAGATAAGGCACCGGCTGCGCCGAACAGCGAGGCTCGGGAGAGAAGAACATAGGATGCGCGCACCATGGCCCGAGGCAAGTGCGCAGGTGGGCGCCAGCGCATTGAAAGAAGAAGAGGGGCTCTGATGTCCCGGAGATCTCGTGGCCCTGGCCATGATATCTTCACACCTCCTGGTCCTCTCCTCCCTCTTGGACGCCACAACGAATGACGGATCACGAGACAGAGAATGCCCGGTGGGGGCGCCGCTGGGGAAGATTCTGGAGGGGACGATCAAAGAGCCTCAACAACGACGCCCATGAACAGGCCCGGAACCCAAATCATTGAACATCACCCAGGGCGCTGCCGCGTCACGGTCCCCCCCCGGGCAATTGTAAATCGTCATCCCAGGTTACTGGGGAAGGACGTTTCCTCGCGCCGACTCCCGTGGCCGTAACAATCCAACCACCAACCACCAGCCGCAAGCTGCAGCTGTGGCACGGAAGGCCGAGACCATGAGGCAGCCACATGTCCGCCCGAGGGCAGTCAAAGACGGCGAGAGCTTCGAGTTCTG